TTGTAAGAGGAGGCCTGCCTGACCCTCTGTTGGGAGGTATGTTTTATGTTTTCACACCTTGGCAGCAAGTTCTATAAATTTGCTTGTCAAACTGTTATTTTTTTCTTCAGCTCTTTTTCTTCTCTTTCTTTTAAGTTCTAAGCCAATGGGAGAATCCCCCAGATTTGGGTGTTTCCATCCCACAGCAGACTGGGTGGCCGTTAAGTTTAACTCTAAGCAAAACTCTGCTAAATTGAAGCTAGTTTGCTGAGTCAATTAACCCACTCCCCATTGCAACTCCATCGACCCAGTTAAATGTAAGGTGGGGAGCCTGTAAATCAAAGTAGTGCTGAAGCTTGCAAACTGCCTGGGGTAATTTGATCATGTACACAATTGAATTCTCTGGAGCAGTGTTTTTCAAACTTGGCAACTTTTTAAGATGTGCAGACTTCAGCTGGCTGGGGAATTCTGGGAGTTGAAGTCCGCCCACCTTAAAGTTGCCAAGTTTGAAAAAACACTGCTCTGGAGCATATGTGAATGTTCTTAGATTTAATCCAAGGCTGAATGAGAGAATCAGAGACAGAAACACAGTCAGAAATCAAAATTCAAACAGAGGTTAGCGATGGAGTTGCATAAGGACTATCTAACAGCGCCCCCTTGAGGCTACTCGCATAAATTGTTCCATGACATTACTAAATGAAACCTACATCATTCCCTATCACAGGGGTCACCAACCGTGGCAACTTTACGACTTGTGGACTTCAACTCCCAGAATTCCTCAGCCAGGCATGCTGGCTGAGGAATTCTGGGAGTTGAAGTCCACAAGTTATAAAAGAGCCATAGTTCCCTCATGCTGGCTGAGGAATTCTGGGAGTTGAAATCCACAAGTCGTAAAGTTGCCTCGGTTGAAGACCCTTGCCCTATCAGATTTGTTTTGCTGTTATTCAGTTGCTAAGTTGTGCTCGGCTCTTTGCGACCCTACAGACCACAGCACGCCAGGCCCCCCCGTCCTCCATTTTCTGAGTCTGCCCAAATTCATGTTCCTTGCATCAATGACACTATCTAATCTTCTCCTTGTGGGAAGTCACCTCCCCAGAGAAGGAAATATTAAAAGGGCAGAAAAATATATTTCCTCCAAGGATCTTAAAGAGACAGAAAAGCATGCCCAGTTTTTTCTTAATAGCCTCAAGTTTCCCTCCCCCAAGCAGAAACCAGTTCTATAGAGATGCAGATGTAAATCCAGGGAGCTAGGAGATTAAGAGGACAAAGACCTAAAATCTACATACCCCATCCAAACTCTAAGAGTCATCAGCCCCAGGGAAGCAGGATATGACCTTTGGACATAATAAAATTGAACCATCACCATCAGAATACCAGAAAGGCACACTCAGACTCAGGTCAAAGTTCATGCCACAGGAACAACTCCAAACAAAAGGCTCCAGAGGGTATAAAAAGCTACTCCCTACATGTGCTCACTCTCTTTTTTTCTTCCAGTGCCATCTTTCTGTCTGGCTTTCCTCTTCAATAAACTGCAACCTTCTTTCTAAAGCAGTCATCATGTTGTTTATTCCCGGCTTGGACTGAACCATGATGAAGACTTTTCCTTCAACAGCGGGCACAGCAGAGCCTGCATTTTCTGCATCGTACAAGACGAACACATCTTCCTTCTCCTGTCCTTACCACTTTCTGTAGAGGGACGATTGAAAGCATGCTGTCATATTGTATTACAGTCTGGTTTTGAAATATTACTGTTTCAGACAGGAAGGCTGTGCAGAGAGTGGTGAGGCACGCTGGCTGAGGAATTCTGGGAGTTGAAGTCCACAAGTCATAAAAGGGCCATGTTTGAAGACCCCTGCCCTATACCATTTCAGAGATATGGTTATAGAATCTCTTCATAAAAACCTCCAGGGATGGAGCACCCACAACTTCAGAAAATAAGCCATTCTACTGATTAATCGTTCTGTCAAGAAATTTCTCCTTAGTTCTAGGTTGCTTCTCTCCTTGATTAGTTTCCATCCATTGTTTCTTGTCCTGCCTTCAGGTGCTTTGGAGGACAGGTTGACCCTCCTCTCCAGAGAGTATAAAAACCTACTTCCTACATGTGCTCAGCCCTTTTTTTTTTTCGCTTCCCTTGCTGCCAGAACCATCTTCTTGTCTGGCTCTCCTCTCCAATAAACTACAACCTTCTTCCCAAAGCAGTTGCTATGTTTATTCCCAGCTTGATGAACCATGATGAAGACTTTTCTTCCAACATCCTCCTCTGCCCTCCCCTTCTCCTTTTGCCTTCCGTCTTCCCCAATATCAGGGTCTTCTCCAACGAGTCCTCCCGTCTCACTTGGTGGCCAAAGGATTTGAGCTTCAGCTTCTGTCTCTGTCCTTCCAAAGAACAGTCAGGGTTGATTTCCTTTAGGACCGACTGATTGGATCTCCTTGCAGTCGGAGGGACTCTCAAGAGTCTTCTCCAACACCACAGTTCAAAAGCATCAATTCTTCTGAGCTCAGCCTTCCTTCTGGTCCAACTCTCACAGCCATACATTACTACTGGGAAAGACGTAGCTTGGACTATGTGGATTTTTGTCAGCAAGGTGATGTCTCTGCTTTTTGATATGCTGTCTAGGTTTGTTCATAGCTTAGTTTTATTTTATTTTTTTTATACTGGAAGGCTATACCAAGGAACAGCATCTCCTCCTCCTCCTCCTCTGATCCAATCTGGAAACAAGAATGAATTTCCTGGCAGTGAGAATGATCGATCAATGGAACAGTTTGCCTCCCGGAGTTGTGGGTGTCCCATTGCTGGAGGTTTTCAAGAAAAGATTGGAAAACCATTTATCCAGGATAGTATAAGGACTCCTGCCATCGGGGGGGGGGGTTGTTATAGACTAGAAAACCTCCAAGGCCCTGTTGAAGGAAAAATCTTTATCAGGGTCCAGTCCAACCTGAGGATAAACAATATGGCGACTGCTTTAGAAAGAAGGTTGCAGTTTACTGAAAAGGAGAGCCAGACAGAAAGATGGCTCTGGAACAGCGGTTCTCAACCTATGGGTCGCGACCTCATTTGGGGTCGATCGACCATTTCACAGGGGTCGCCAAGCAAGGCTGTCCGCCATTTTTTCCCCCTTTTCCAGCGGGTGCCTTACCTCCCTCGAGCTGGGCCAGCTGGTGGTCGGCCTGCTTCGTCTCTGCCGCTTGCGAGCTACGCCTCGGCCGGCGCAGGGGGCAGAACCATGCATGCGTGGTGCTCCCAGGCAAAGTCCTCGACTTACGACCGGTTTAGTCCTCGACTTACGACTGGTTGGGGGTCGCATTAAAAAGGTTGAGAACCACTGCTCTGGAAGAAAGGAGAGAGAGCACATGTAGAGAGTGGGTTTTTATATCTTCTTGGGCTTTTGTTTGGAATTGTTTCCTGTTCCTGTTTGAGGCTTTGTATTTCCTGTGTCATGTATTTTGATCTGAGTCTGAGTGTGCCCCTTTGGCATCTGTGGGTTAATGCTATTATGTCCTGTCTTAAGAGTTCAGGTGGAATATGTAGATTGTAGGTGTCTTTGTCTTCCTAAGCTTCTAGCTGGAGGGCTCCAACTTTCCTGAATGCATTGTTACATCTGCATTTCTACAGAGCTGGTTTCTGCTTGGGGGAGGGAGACTTGGGGCTATTAAGAAAAACTGGGCATGCTTTTCTGCCTCTTTTAAGATCCTTTGAGGATCGCCAACATCCGATAACAGATATGGCACAAGAAGACGAAGAAGAGGAAATATAATATTCTGCCCTTTTAATATTTCCTTCTCTGGGGTTGGGGCTGACTTCCCACAGCCCCTTCCAGCCCTTTGATTCATTTCACTGAGCCTTTTCTGAAACCGACCTGCTTAATCGGCTTTTCTCTGTGCAGGCATACTGTAACTTTGCAACTAAATGCAAAACTGGAAAGATACTACCAGTTGGATCATTTCAATTCTTTACATATTGTTAGAAGTAAGTCTTCATCCTGGTTCAACCAAGCCGGGAATAAATAAGCAAACATGGCGACTGCTTTGGGAAGAAGGTTACAGTTTATTGCAGAAGAAAGATGGTCCTTGCAAGAAGGAGCAGAGAAGAAAAAGAGTGAGTACATGGGTAGAAGGTTTTTTATACCCCCTCTAGCCCTGTTTGGAATAGTTTCCTGTTCCTGTGGCATGAACTTTGAGGATATTTCTGAGTGTTTTTCTAGGCCTTGATATCTGTGGTTTAATCCTATTATCATATCCTGCTTCCCAGGTGATGGGGCTAATGACTCCTAGCGTTTGGGTGGGGCATGCAGATTTTCTGTTTGTCTTCTTGATTGCTCTGGCTTCAACTTTCTAATGGTTTTACATCTGCATTTGTATGGGTTAGGTCTTGCTTGGGGGCAGGGACTTGGGGACAAAGTTGGTTTCTGCTTTTTAAAATACTTTTGAGGAAATATATTTTTCTCCCTTTTAATATTTCCTTCTCTGGGGCTCTGACTTCCCACAATATATACTACCCAGCCCTCATTCCTTTTCCTTTACGCTGTCCATACCCAGCAATCCCCCCCAATCTACAGTTCCCACGTTCGTCTCTAGTCAGGCACGTATGACATTGCTTCCCGCACACCCGGGAATCATCCGTGCAGAAGCGCTTGCCGGGCCTCCCCGCCAATGAGCGCCTCTTTCGCCGGCTCGCGCGGAACTCACCAATCCGCGCGTCGGCTCCTTGCCGCGTGACCGGTCCCTCCCACCCTCCCACCCCAACTTTTCTCCTCCCCCTCGGGCGCGCGGCCCTGTCCATCACCACCACCAGCCTCCAGCGTCGAGGCGTCGTGGCGTCGTATTTCAGGCCCTGGACGCATGCGCACACCGTCTTGCGGTCTCTTTCTCCCCCCCTCCTCCCACATTCTCGTGGCTTGGCAAAGTTACCCGGCATCCTTTGCAAAGTGGCAACGTAGCCGGCCGTGGCAAAGGCAGCGCCTGCGCAGTGAGAGGCGAAAAAAAAAAAAAAAAGCCGGCTGAGAGGTTTCCCGGCCGGTTGACGGACTGAGGGCAACGGTGGTTCGCTCGCCGACTCCGGAGTAGCCGCTTTGCCCTTCGCCTAGTCGGGTATGTCCCAAGCTGAGGGAAACGCGGAAGGGGAGTGGGCTTTTCTCCCTCCCTCCCTCCCCTCAGGCTACATCCAGCCCCCCTCCCCCTCCCCTCCTCAGCCCCTTCCCCTTTTGTCCCCCCCCTTTTTTTCCTAAGGGGGATCCTGGTTGAATCCTGGCTCCCCTCAAGACTGTGGCATCTCTGGGGAGGGAGGGGGGCTAGGAGCCCCCCCACCCCCCAGTGGGATCTGCTCGAATGCCTTGGAAGGGGGGGGAATTTGCTGGGCACCCCCAGTTGGGTGGGAAGGCTGATCCCCTTACAAGACAGCAAGGAAATCCAAATTGGGCTTCCCCCCCCCCGCAGAAAGAGGCGGGAGAAATAATGAATGAAAATTACCAGAGGCCAAATATCAGCTTCTGCCTTCCAAGAATCTGCCACCAATGCATAAAAAAGGGGGGGGGGGGAGGAAGAGAGATGGGAGGTCCTTGGCTTGCCCATGGTTCTCGCCTCTCCCCCCCCCCCAAAAAAAAATCTTGGAATAATAGTCGGTGGCAGATTCCGGTCCTGCTTGGATGGGGAGGGGGCTGCAGGCGAAAATGCTGGGCAGTTTGAGGATGCCTGGAAGGAAGCGTCATTTCAATTTCTCACCTTGTCTTTCCTACTATCTTCTCCTGTTGGTGTCTTAACAATTTGTCAGTTGTTGGGTCTTATGGTTAATGATTGTAACTATGATTGATGATCTATGACCTATTGCTTGCTGTACACTGTGAGCTTATGCACCGGAGACAAATTCCTTGTGTGTCCAATCACACTTGGCCAATAAAAAAATATTCTATTCTATTCTATTCTGTTCTATTTTATTCTATTATTCTATTCTATTCTATTCTATTCTATTCTATTCTATTCTATTCTATTCTATTCTATTCTATATCCTATCCTATTCTATACCCTATCCTATTCCATCCCATCCCATCATTATTCTATCCTATCATTATTCTATTCTATTCCCTATTCCCTATTCCCTATTCTGTTCTATATTCTGCTCTGCTCTGTTCTTATCCTATCCTATCCTATCCTATCCTATCCTATTCTATTCTATTCTATTCTTCTATAATCTGTTTATTCTATTCTATTCCCTATTCCCTATTCCCTATTCTGTTCTATATTCTGCTCTGCTCTGTTCTTATTCTGTTCTATCCTATCCTATTCTATTCCCTATTCCCTATTCTGTTCTATATTCTGCTCTGCTCTGTTCTTATCCTATCCTATTCTATCCTATTCTATTCTATTCTATTCTATTCTATTCTATTCTTCTATAATCTGTTTATTCTATTCTATTCTATTCTGTATTCCATTCCATATTCTATATTCTATTCTTAATTCTATTCCATCCCATCCCATCCTCTATTTCCAAATCGTGAGAAATTGGGGTTTCTGTTTATTCGGCCTGCTTTGCATCCCACCCTGAGGATCTTGCCCATTTCTGGGCACAGTGAGCTAAAAAGGATTCAGAAGAATTGGAGCAGGTTCCAACATGGGGCGGCAGAGATGATTAGGAAACTATAGATAGTCCTCAATTTACAACCCTTCATTTAGTGACCGTTTGAAGTTGCAACAGCGCTGAAAAAAAGTGACTTATGACTGTTTTTCACACTTAGGACCGTTGCACCATCCCCATGGTCACGTGATCAAAATTTGAAAGCTTGGCACTTGGCATGTAGTTATGACGGTTGCGGGGTCCTGGGTGTCATGTGATCACCTTTTGCGACCTTCTGACAAGCAAAGTCAATGGGGAAGCCAGATTCACCTAATTGCAGTATTACTAACTTAACAATTGCAATGATTCACTTAACAGCTGTGGCAAGAAAGGGGCCCAAAATGGAGCAAAACTCACTTAACAGTCTTGCTTAACAATGGAAATTTGGGGCTCAGTTGTGGTCATAAGTCAAGAACTACCTGCAGTTTTGTGAAGAGAGATGGAAAGAATTGAATGGACAAGCCATTTGTTCGAAATAGTATAGGGTTACCTGCCTGAGCAGGGGGTTGGACTTGATGACCTCCAAGGTACCTTCCAACTTTATTATTATTGTTGTTGTTGTTATTATTATTATTATTACCCTGGTAGGCACTTCTTTACTCTCCTACCATTGGGTAGGAGATATAGAAGCATAGCCAGCCGCACCAACAGGCTGAAGAACAGTTTCTACCCATGGGCTGTCAGACTCCTGAATGGGAAATAACTCCACGTATGATAGACATGCGGGGCTGGCGCGTTGTGCAATAAGTTCACGTGGTGTAATAAGATGGTGGGTTTGTTGTCACTGTGAGTTGTGTTGGGGGGGTGCACGAAGGGAGGCTCAGCCAATCTCATTGTACACATGTTGTACTTTGATAATAAAGGTTGATTTGGTTTGATTTGAAATTGTTTAGCTTTGACAAAAACAGATGTTGGGGCAACATGATAATTTTGGAAAAGCATTGTCTCTTCCCTCCCCCCCCCCGGTGGGCTTTAAGATGGGTGGCCATACAGATCTTTTAAATAAATTAGTGTCTCACAGAAGCTCAAGACCTGTGCTCTTTCATTCGAGAGGGCAGTCATGGACTAATGCATTTAAGTAACAGAAAGTAAACTTCGACTTACAGTACTTTTAGAAAAAATAAATCCTAACAGTAGAAGCACTTTGACAGCAGAACTGTCAATGTAAAGATGTAGCCTGGCTCCCTTCAATGAATGTGCCCAAGTGAAGTCAAGGTAACCATTTAACTTGGATAATCTGGATTCTTGCCCTAGGCAAGGAGGGAAATTCAGTGACTCAGATGATGTCACTTCCTGATTTTGTGGTGAAAAAAAAACCATTTTATCATGAAAGGAAAGATGTTGAGACTCTGGAAAGAGGGCAAACAAAGATGATTAGAGGACTGAAGGCTAAGACATGCGAAGAACAGTTGCAGAGACTGGGTAAGCCTACTTTAATGAAAAAAATGGGTGACATGATAGCAATCTTCCAATATTTGAGGGGCTGCCACAAAGGAGAGGAGGGTCAACCTGTCCTCCAAAGCACCTGAAGGCAGGACAAGAAACAATGGATGGAAACTAATCAAGGAGAGAAGCAACCTAGAACTAAGGAGAAACCTCCTGACAGTGAGAACAATTAATCAGTAGAATGGCTTGCTTTCTGAAGTTGTGGGTGCTCCATCCCTGGAGGTTTTTATGAAGAGATTCTATAATCTCTGAGATGTTATAGGGCAGGGGTCTTCAAACTTGGCCCGTTTTGGATTTTCCCAGTTGTGAATAGGCATCCTTCAAAATGGCGTCTGTTAAATAAAGGTTCGTTCTTTTAAAAAAATGCAAAGCCTGCTATAAAAACGGTTCATGCACGAGTATCTCTCATAATGTTCCACTAGAATTATTCTCTTCCATCTTTTTCATTGCAGAAGAACAATTTCCTGACAATATTTATTAAATCTTGGTTCCCTTTCAAAGCATGGTTTGCAGATTGTGATCCAAGCTAGAGAACGCTGGCCTACTTTTTCCTTCCTATCTGGCATTATTGTGTTTTGTTGCTGCAGTTAGATCATGGACAAAAGTACTACTTCAAGCTGCGATAGTGGGTAACCTTATTGATATGAATGTTCTGATATAATAATAATAATAATAATAATAATAATAATAATAATAATAATAATAATAATAATAATAATAATAATATAAAGTTGGAAGGGATCTTGGAGGTCATCTAGTCCAACCCTCTGCTCACGCAGGAAACCCTATACCATTTGAGGCAAATGGCTGTCCAGTCTCTTCTTTAAAACTTCCACTGTTGGAGCATTCACCGCTTCTGGAGGCAGGTTGTTCCACTGGTTAATTGTTCTAACTGTCAGGAAGTTTCTCCTTAGTTCTAGGTTGCTTCTCTCCTTGGTTAGTTTCCACCCGTTGCTTCTTGTCCTGCCTTCAGGCGCTTTGGAGAATAGCTTGACTCCCTCTTCTCTGGGGCAGCCCCTGAGATATTGGAAGACTGCTATCATGTCCCCCCTCGTCCTTCTCTTCGTTAAACTAGACATACCCAATTCCAGCAACCGTTCCTTCTATGTTTTAGCCTCCAGTCCCCTAATCATCTTTGTTGCTCTTCGCTGTACTCTTTCTAGAGTTTCAACATCTTTTTTTACATCGTGGTGACCAAAACTGGATGCAATATTCCAAGTGTGGCCTTAATGGGAAAGAATTTATATTTGATCTCCCAGCTGTTTTCAGATTGACAAATTAGGGAATTCCTATAATATTTTCTGCTAAACTGTAGGAGGAGAGGCAGAACCTAGGGCTGGAGTCAAATGAAGGATCACCCTGGAATCCTTAATGGTCTAAGTCAGAGGTCCCCAACCTTTTGGGCAGCAGGGACTGGTTCCATGGGGAGAGGTTTTTCCGCGGACCGGAGGGTACATGGTTTTGTGTGTTGCCTGCATCCCGTGGATGGGGCTTCGCTTGTTTGTGTGGCCCGGTTGCTGGCATGCTGCGGCCCGGTACCGGTCCATGGACAAGGAGTTGGGGACCTCTGGTATAAGTGCCTTTTGAATCACATTGATTCTTATCTAGCACTAATTTAATGCTGCCTGTTAGTTGACTAAATCATTGTGTATACTAAACATGAGCCATACATCATCTTTACTTAACGTGTGGTCCTCTATGCCAGGGCTTTTCAACCGGTTGTACGCGTACCACTTGTGGTACATTAATGAGTGGCAGGTGGTACACAGCCCTGCCTACCCAAGTGTAGTGGGGGAAGGAAAGAGCCAGCACAGGCAAGGACTTGCAGTGAGAGAGTCCTCTGGAGCTGCAAAGGCCCCAGGCTCACTTCTGGCTCACCCTCCCCCATGAGAAAGGAGGAGAGGGGCGGAGACAGGAGAGCTTATAAAACAGCGGTTCTCAACCTATGGGTCGCGACCCCATTTGGGGTCGATCGACCATTTCACGGGGGTCACCAAGCAAGGCTGTCCGCCATTTTTTTTCCCTTTTCCGGCGGGTGCCTTACCTCCCTTGCGCTGGGCCAGCTGGTGGTCGGCCTGCTCCATCTCTGCCGCTTGCGAGCTACACCTCGGCCGGCGCAGGGGGCAGAACCACGCATGCGCGGCGCTCCCGGGCAGGGAAAGTCCTCGACTTACGAGCGGTTGGGTAGTCCTCGACTTACGACCGGTTTAGTCCTCGACTTACGACCGGTTTAGTCCTCGACTTATGACCGGTTTAGTCCTCGACTTACGACCGGTTGGGGGTCGCGGCATTAAAAAGGTTGAGAACCACTGCTATAAAAGGAGGCAGTTTGGGCAGAAGAGGGAGAGAGAGAAAAAAAGCAACAGCCTTGGGAGGAGGCGGAGTCAACTGCACAGGATGGGGAGGGGAGGGGGAGGGTGCGGGGAGAGGAGATCAAGCAGGCCGGCCATGAGCCGATCTACAATTGCTGTGGCAGCCACCTGTGCTGGCAGCAGCAAACAGGCAAGAAATACAGCGGGAGAGGGATTGCCCTCCAAGAGGAATGAAAAAAGGAGGCAGCAATGGCTGGAGGTGAGGCAGGGAGGAGGGAAGGAGATGGAGAGCGGAAGGATTCTTATGTGCTTTTGTGACTTTGAAGTTCTGGGATTTGTGCAATGAGGGCTTTGTGTTCTTAAGGAGTGTTTGGCAATTTCTATTTGGCTGATGTCTCCTGTTAGCTTCTAGTGCTCTGCTGTTGTTAGGTGTAAGTTTTGCTGCAAGGGATTTTGCAGTATTTTTCTCCTGAATGGATTTTGCCTGTAGCGTTCCTTTACTTGTGAATGGAGCCATTTGGGGAGGTTGCCTTAGCCAGCAGCCAGTACTTACATTTCTTTTTCTTCCTTAATTGCTGGCTGCGCTCCTTACTTTCCTTTCTAGCCAGTAGCTAATTCTTAAAGGGGAATGTGCCTTTTTAAGCTAGTTCACTCAGCAGCTTGTCTTTTCTGTCTCTGGAGGCCTTTCCTTGTTTAATCTATATATGAAAGAGGGAAAATATGGGGGGAAGTTCAAATTCTTCCTTCAGAAGGAGATGGGAATGAGAAAGGGAGGCGGGGAAGGGAGGGAGGAAAGGAAGTCCCGCCTTAGCACTTGGCCACCAGCAGCTCTGCCATTGACTTTGCTTGTCAAAAGGTTGCAGAAGGGGATCACAGGACCTTGGAACACTGTGACCATCATAAATATGAATCAGTTGCCAAGCATCCAAATATAAATCACATGACCCTGGGCCTGCTGCAATGGTCATACGTGTGAAAAATGGCCATAAGTCATTTCAGTGCAATTGCAACTTAGAACAGGTTTTTGTTTTTTTTTTGGTCATCAAGTTTTTGACACCTTGCTAGGTGGTACTCGAATATTGCCATATCCTAAAAGTGGTACAATCGATCAAAAGGTTGAAAAGCCCTGCTCTATGCTGTCTGAATCTTGTTTACATTGATTGTTTTTCTCCTACAGGACCATGGCAAGCCCAAGAACAAGGAAAGTCCTTAAAGAAGTGAGAGTGCAAGACGAAAACAATGTAAGTAGCTTGAGTTACCTTCTCAGCCACAGATGATTAAGCAGCCATGAATCAGTGTCAGCTCACGTTAGATAATTAATGCATGTGGATATAATTACCCGTGAAAATTACTGGACGAATTTGCTGCAAAGTATCAGTCTTTCTCACTAAACGGTATGATTCACATTGTTTGCAACACTATTTCTGAAAACACCAAATATTTCTTTTTTATAAATACAGGTAGTCCTCGACTTAACGATCACAATTGAATCCAGATTTTCTGTTGTTAAGTGAGAGGTTTGCTAAATGAGTTTTCCCCCATTTGTACGACCTTTCTTGCCCCGGTTGTTAAGTGAATCACTGCAGTTGTTAGCTTAGTGACACCGTTGTGAAGTGAATCCGGCTTCCCCATTGACTTTTCTTGTCGGAAGGTCGCAAAAAGGGATCACGTGACCCCGGGACACTGCAACCGTCATAAATATGAGTCAATTGCCAAGCGTCTGAATTTTGGTTATGTGACCGTGGGGATGCTGCAGCAGTCATAAGTGTGAAAAACGGCCACAAGTCCCTCTTTTTCAGTGCCGTTGTAACTTTGGTCACTAAATGAACCGTTGTAAGTCGAGGACTACCAAAGAATTGGTACAAATGTGTAGAATGACTAGTAAGTAGCAAGAATGAAAATATGAAAATGTGGGTGGCTTGAGTTAATAGTATACTACATTTACTACATAGCCTGGAAGTTAGATTTTGATCATATGCCAGTGGTGGCAAACCTTTTAGAGACCGAGTGCCCAAACCGCAACCCAAAACCCATTTATGTATCGTCAGGTGCCAGGTGGGCATGGCCCACTGGGTGGGCGTGGCTTTGGTGGTCATGGTAAACTGAGTGGGTGTGGTCAAGGTAGGCGTGGTAACATTGATGTTGCTCGTGGGGAGGGACGCCAGTGGGGGTCGGGCAGGGTTGGGGGAGATCCATGGGGTCTCTGGCAGATGGGGCAGTGGGCAGGAGGCTCGTCCTGCAGGGTGAGGTGAGGCGAGGCAGGGCGGGGGTGCCATTGTCGCAGGGCAAGGCGAGGCAGGGGCCGGGGTGGCCGCTGCCTGACACCATCGGTCCCCGCACACAGAGGCCAGCGAGCGCATGGGGGCTGACAGTGTCCATCAGCAGCCACAGCCTACCGGCCCCTCGACCGGTGCACTCTGGGGCTCTGCAGCCCACCGCCAGCAGTTCAGAGAAGCCGCCTCTGAGCTGGATGGATACCGGACAGCTGAGGAGGTGATGCAGTGGGTCGTGTCTGGGAAAAGGAGAGCATGCGAGGCCAGGAGGGATGGGATGGGGGGGGGGAGGGAAACCAGCCATGCTGGGATGCATCTGGCCACGTGGGACCTCGGCGAGTTAACGGGTGGCTGGTTGAAGAGGGACAGTTGCCATCTCTGGGGCGTGGTGCGCGTGCCCACAGAGAGGGCTCCGAGTGCCGCCTCTGGCCCCCGTGCCATAGGTTCGCCACCACTGTCATATGCATTTCTGTCTGCTATCACGGAATTTTCTGAGGAATGTACATCGGTTCTGAGAACGTTGATGGAAAACTAATGTTTCATTATAGTAGCATTAACCTTCCTGCTAATCAGTTGAACAGTTCCTTTTTGTTTCTCCTCCTCTGGTCTACCGTTCCTTGTGTTTTTCTTCCGATTTTTTTCGAAATGTCGTATTGATTTCCTGCAGCTCTTTCAGATTTCCACAGATGCTTCCTTAAAACCCCTTGACAGAGTGGTTACTAATACGCAAACAAAGCTGGCATGGTGGGATTGATTCCCCAAAACTCAGCCCACATTTGAAAAGCATTGGAAGATTCCGGGATTTGATGCAACTAAATAATTCCTGGGTTTTAAATCGCGGGCTGTTGTCCTCTGCCCTTTTAATGCAGTGGGTTTGTGTCTGTCCTTTTCTCTCCGTCTTGAGCACTGTTTACATAGTTTTATCTGGCCTGAGCTGATTTCCAGGGCATGAGGGTGATCTGGCTGCCACATCCCTCACCCCCTTGACTACCAGAGTTGATTGGGTGATCTGGCTGGCTCAGGGGAGATCTCCTTCCTCCCCCCCTGTTCCATGCGCATCCCTCCTGAAGCTGTGAGTTTGGTGGAAGAGAATGGTCACCTCATACAGGTAGTCCTCGACTTACGACTACAACTGAGCCCAACGTTTCCATTGCTAAGCAAGGCAGTTGTTTAAATTTGCCCCGTTTTGCGA